CACTTTATGCGTACGTACACCACTACATAATATATAAACGCCCACGCGTATCGGGTGCGCATACGTACACCATTACATAATATATAAACGCCCACGCGTATCGGGTGCGCATACGTACACCACTACATCAAGAGTCCTTGATAGAACATCTAGAACATCTACAACATAATAGAACATTTTCTATCATGGACTCTTGATTACATATATATACCACCCACATGTATAGATACACGTCGTACATATACCACTACGAGCACAATAACGGTTAGGAATTGGTCTCATATTCATTTAGTACCTCTGTGTATGAATAGAATTACTTTTAAACCCAGGTTTTCTCTAAACACTCACTCCAACAAATCTTCTACAACTAACAACCGTATAGTCGTACTGGCAATATGGGTCCAAGGGCGGATTCAGACCGTATTTGCCGTATTGGGAAATAGTAATACGGTCTAGATTTCAAAGTGCCCTTCAAAATTTTGCGCTAAAAAATACAGAAAATAATTTGATGGAATTTGGCTATATTCTTTATTTGTTTTCTTTTTCTTCTGATTCATTGACAGGACTTGAAGGAAATCAACATTTTGGAAATCAAGGAAATCAAGGAAGCAAAATTTGGAAATCAAGGAAGCAAAATTTTACATGGTAACAAAACTAGCTTGGAAAAAGAAGGGAAGTGCTTGAATCATTCTGCATTAATTGCTGGTATGCAAAGCGCAAGCAAAATAAAGCAGAAATAAAATTCCATATGGTTTTTAGCTATTGCTGCTTGACTAAATGTGGGCTCAAATGGTGCTCATTTTTGTGCCCAGGGACCCTTGAAATTCAAAATTTCCTAGGGGAGCCCCCCCAGACCCCCCGCAATGTGCTTTCACGCCTATAACGCCGCCCACTGTGGTGTGGTGTGCCCTTTTTGGGGAATGTGCCCTTAAAATCTGGAAAAATACTGTCTAGCTTCAGCCCTGGATCGGCCCCTGATACTGGTATAGACTCGTACAGGTAATTTTCTAGTAATAACTACTGATACTATATTCCCCCCAAGCAACATCATGGCTGATGTATCATTGCAGAGCGAAAATTCGAACCATTACAAGCAATGCTTTCTCAGCTGCAATATTGCACACACACACCCACCCACACGCACGCACGCACGCACGCACGCACGCACG